CCCCCCCACCCAGAAGCAAGTTATACATCAAGCTCGTCACGTGCCAAAGTCGGCTATGCACGTGTACTTTCATATTTACTCGTACATGTTTAATGTTTGTTTGCCAATTGCACCACTTCTGTCCTCTCTTTGCTTTGTTCTCTTAAAGTTCACGTTCATGTGGTAAAGGGTAAGAGGAAGACGGGTTTGGTTTTGGCTCTGGCTTTGTTTTTGGATTTTGTTCTTGCTTTACAAGAAAACCAATATCAGTGAAAAAACATCTAGGCCATCCAACTATACCATTGAATCCGGAAAGAGTTTGTTGAAAATTGAAAAGAAAAAGGAAGAATGCCATGTTCGAATGGCAAGACTCTTGTGATCAACATAAGCAAGCGGATCCGTTACTACAATTAATTAGGGCAACTAATTAGTGACAAATATCGTGTATATACGAAGAAAAAAAAAAGTGTTTGTTTGGTTTTGCAGCAAGACTTCGATTTTATTTTAAGCAACATAGTGTCAATTAAAGATTCTAGGTCGCCCAACAACCATTCGAAATCGAAAATTATTTAGTGATTAACAAGCGTATCTTTCTCTTACCTCCTTTACTTGGTTTGATTTCTAGCTTTTGTTTGTGGCTGGATGGGCACCCTTCCTTTTCCTTGTGTGATTTGGGCCCTTGTTCTATGTTTTCTTTGATCTTTCTGTAAAGTAATGCACTGATAGATTCAGTTTCGATAAATAAATAAAAAACACAAGTGTATATATAAGGGAATAAAAAAGTTATAAAACTAGGGCATCCGCTACCGAATTAGCTAGCTATAAGAAATGCTACTACAATTTATCTTGGCAATTAATCATCCTCTGCAAGAGAATTGTAAATGTATTTTGGTTTTGACTTTAGTATGGTTTCGATTTTATTTCAAGCAACTACCTAACAACCTATACTCCCGTTTTCCACAACAAGCACTCACTAACATGACAACATCAGGCACCTAAGAAGATTTTCATGATGGAGAAAAGCCAGCATCAATTGATGGATCTCCTCCAGCTACACTCTACCAGCTCCTCCAATTAAACCTTGGAACTACTAAACAGTACGGGGCCAAAAATTAGGTGATGTGTGCCTCCTCACTCACTTCAAGCACCTCCCCACAAGTTCATCATGCAAGCATCTCTAGCTAGCTCATTTTGCACATTTATTTTGATGTTCATGAAAAGATTGATAGGTTCTTCACTTACACAAGTTGATCATCTATGCTCACATCTCTAGTTAGCTCGTTTTTGCCGCATTCTTAATTCTCTGCGACATTTCAATGCATGATTTAGGCAAGGTGTTGTAAACACCTAGTAGTGTTCATTCAGATTTTTTTTTGTTTTTTTTGTTTTTTCGGTCGAGAATTTGGATTTGTTTCATAAC